GGAAAAAATAAACTGGGATAGGTGGTATCGGTGCAGTGATGTGAATGTAAATCTTACAAGCTATATTTAGAATGAAATGTTATCCGTCAAAGATCTTGGTGTCTCTGTCACACGATACTTTAATTTTGGGTTCCACTGCTCTTTAGGGCAGACCCAGGATTACTTTTCCCATTCACACATTTCAACCACCCTTCTGAACACATAATTAGGTTGATTTTGGATGCCAAATTTTACAAGTTAGTGTTATTTTATAATCTCTTTATGGTTTGAAGCTCATGAAATTACATCGTCTGAAAGGATCCTACTGAATTTAAGGGTGAAGGCAGAGAGGATATTTTTACAACAGTGGAGCCAGTTTCAAAGTGGAGCCAAAAACACCTAACAGTAGAAAAGTGTAAGAGTCCAGTAGCACCTTAAAGACCAACAAAATTGGTGGTAGGGTATGAGCTTTCGTGAGTCACTGCTCACTTCTTCAGATACCTGAAGGCTATCCATCTGGATCTAACACCTCTGGTGGTAAAGAACGGATAAAAGGAAGTACTTTTTCACCCAAAGATTGATTAACACATGGAATTCACTGCCACAGGAAGTGGTGGCGGCTACAAGCATGGACGGCTTCAAAAGGGAATTAGATAAGCATATGGAGCAGAGGTCCATCAGTGGCTATTAGCCACAAGGTATAGATAGGCAACTGATGCTCTGTCTTCTTGGTGCTTGGGGGGGGGGGTCAACAGTGGGAGGGCTTCTAATGTCCTGGCCCCACTGGTGGACCTCCTGATGGCACTGGTATTTCTGGCCACTGTGTGACAGAGTGTTGGACTGGATGGGCCTTCGGCCTGATCCAACATTGGCATCTCTTATGTTCTCTCTAAGTAATTCCTTAGTGCTTTGTGGCTTAAAGACTCTTGGAAAGCAGAAACCACAACATTCAGATATTGGCTAATGTGAGGAACAATGTCCTGCGCGGGACAGAGGAAGTTTTAGGTGGGTAATTGTGCTATTTTACAGTAGCTGAGCTAGACTGGAGTCCAGTAGCACTTTAAAAGACCAACAAG